AAAATAGAGTGTTTTTTCCCTTTTGTTCGCTAATGTCGTCAGGCCGCCTCGAAAAATAATTAAATTACAATATATGCATGAATTATGCCATATAATAAAAAATTTACTAACTTCAACTGTTTGGTCTATACGGTGTCGCTATCGCTCGGTCAATACACCAAGACCTCTGTTTGATATTTTACCGTATAGACCTCACGCTCAGTTAAGGCTAGTTTCCACTCAGGAAAATTCTCCTTTGGATCGGACAAGACAGGAAAGTTTCCTTTCCTGAGGTTCCTGTCCGTTCCGATCCAAAGGAGACTTTTCCTGAGTGGAAACTAGCCTTTAGTAAGTAGTGGTTATTATATAGTTGATACAACAGTTATGACATAGACGTTGACAAAACAGACGGTTTTAGGTAGTAAGAGTATTTGGGAGTTTTTGAACCAGAAGATGAACTTTAGTTCGAATTCTTTAGGTCTGGGACGAGTATCATGGTCGACTATACTGACACGCGTTGGAAGCTGTTGATCACACGCAGTTGACACGGATAAAACATTTATTTTATATTAGTATTATCGGTATTTAGCTATAAGATGTTAACAGGACAAGGATGTTGTTCATTGTACTTTGGTTGCCAAGTTTCCCTTTTGGGTCTCTTCCAAATTACGGGTGTTGATTTGTTTATCATGCCCATTTGATTTCCATCGTTTACATCTTACAAATTTCGGCCAAAAGGATTCATTTGGCATTAAAGAACAATCATGCAGCTGCTGGGATGTTGATCTTTGCCGAGAGAGTTCCTTTGCGCTTGCTTTTAAAAAGGAGTAAGTAATTAGGTTTTACATTACCCTCTTCCAGATAAGATATCATTTGACTTTCGTTCACCTTGTTGTCGATTCCCAACAAAAACATTTTTTTTGTTTTTCTATGCCTCTCTACTCCAATAAATCCATCTGCGCTTACATTTTGGTGGCTCTTTATGAAATCATTGAGGATCTAAGAAAATTCTTTAATGCACGCCGAAATAAAAGAATTTAAAAATCTATCTGTTTTTATTTTTGGAAGTTCAAACTTAATTAATAATGACTTGCAAGACGCGATCGATATATAGCTATCAGGTATGTGTAGAATATTCACCATAGAAACAAATTGCCTGATTTTTTTTGAGATTTTTTAGATTAATATTTTGCCATTTTAGGCATTGCCATTACGTATATTCAAGGATCATAAACAAGTCGTGAGGCTTATTTAATTCACAATATAATCCCCGAGAATCCTGTGCGGAGCACCATGTGAGGGTACTAATTCCGCCCGAAGATTAGGAATTACACCCGGAACCGGAGTGCATAGCGGAATCCAAAGTTTTACAAGGCAGCAAAGCCGCAAGAAAAATCCGGCTAAAGCATGCCACTACTGTGAGCAAGAGATAAAGGCGTCTGTAATAGAGCATGTTAAGAAGTGCAGGGTCAGGACAAGCAAATGCAATTTCTGCAATGCAACCAGGCACCACAAGTCAGTACGCAGGAAAAAGGAAGTAATTAAAGAGCTGAAATCTGAAGATCTGAAGGAATCCCAACAGGACGATGTTTATATTATTAATACCTTCAGAGTTACAGAAAAGAGTCAAGATCAACCACAGCACGATGCCAGACATCATAAGGACGACTTCAAGGTCGAGTTAGTCATCAATAACAGTCTCGCTACTGTCCTTGCCGACCTTGCAGACACGGGAGAAAGCATTGGTGTGTGTGGAAAGAAAGAGGCCGAACGATGGAATCTCGTACAGAAAATGGTTAACACAAACGTCAAGATCAAAACCGCACGACAGCCAGCAATACCAGTGGCAGGTATTGCAAAATATGCTGTGAATTTCGGAAGCTCGACAGTTCCTGTGGACTGGCATATAATTAACAGTCCTTGCGAGCCGGTTCTCGCGGGACAAGCAGCAAAACAGTTAGCAGCAAAACCTGCCGTTTTTCATCCGGTGAAACTGATACAATCTAACGATAAGTCTGCTCTTCAAAATATTTTATAACGTTTTCGAACGAGTATCCGTATCCCCAGATTGATCTGGAAGCCCTTGGCATCGACTTCGTCTTGAGAAGATTCCGCAACTACGTCGTTGCAAATGGTATAATATTGAAAGATGAAAGAATCGTTCTACCGGAGAAACTTCAGGCGATGGCAATTAAAATTGCGCACAGAGGATCGCATCCCGGCCAAACCGGACTAGAAAGAAGGCTTAGATACCACTTCTTCTTCCTTGATATGAATAGGAAAGTGAAGGAGTCGGTTGAGTCATGCGCGCGACGGCTGTACTATGTGTGTAGATAAGACTAAAGAACCAACCAAGCCACACAAAGTCCCAGAAAAATGTTGGGACACGGTAGCAGTCGACTTGTTTGGACCGATGCCATCTTCAAAACACGTTGTAGTCGAGCATGATCTAGCGTCGCGATTTCCCGCAGCCAAACTGGTCACATCAACGAAAGCAGACAGAGTCATTCCAGCACTCAGTTAAATTCATGAGAGGTGCAGATGATATCGGATAATGGCCCACCATTTATATGACAAGGGTTCATTCTGGAATTTGATTGGCTGTTGACAAGTCCGGATTTTCCCACAATGCCCACGGGCAATACCCAATTCTTATTGCCCTGTGAAAAACAAAGCTAAACTGAAGCAAAAACGTTAAATTTCTGCTAATTGTATGTGGATAAAATAATAATTGACGAGATGACTGATGAGGAGCATGTTCAAAATGCGAGTTTTATTTTTCTGAAATGCAATGAATATACAGTTGATCGAACAAAATTTCACAAACCATTTCAAACTTTACATCGGACTTTAATCACATTAAATACGGAACTTTTAAGCCAGTTAAAGCATGAAGTTTTATGATTTGTTGAGAGCGTTCTTCATTAATATTAAATATGATGCTGTGATTATATTTTACAAAATAGAGTGTTTTTTCCCTTTTGTTCGCTAATGTCGTCAGGCCGCCTCGAAAAATAATTAAATTACAATATATACTAACTTCGACTGTTTGGTCTATACGGTGTCGCTATCGCTCGGTCAAAACAACAAGACCTCGGTTTGATATTTTACCGTATAGACCACACGCTCAGTTAAGGCTAGTTTCCACTCAGGAAAATTCTCCTTTGGATCGGAAAAGACAGGGAAGTTTTCTTTCCTGAGGTTCCTGTCCGTTCCGATCCAAAGGAGATTTTTCCTGAGTGGAAACTAGCCTTTACAGTAAGTAGTGGTTATTATATAGTTGATACAACAGTTATGACATAGACGTTAACAAAACAGACGGTTTTAGGTAGTAAGAGCATTTGGAAGTTTTTGAACCAGAAGATAAATTTTAGTTCAAATTCTTTAGGTCGGGGACGACTGACACTATACTGACACGCGTTGGAAGCTGTTGATCATACACAGTTGACACAGATAAAAGATTTCTAGGATTGCGCTTTACCGGCCTTGAGCGGTATTTACGCGATGTTATAATGCAGGACAGGGATGTTGTTCATTGTACTTTGGTTGCCAAGTTTCCCTTTTGGGAGTTTTCTAAATTACGGGTGTTGATTTGTTATCATACCTATTTGATTGTCATCGTTTACATCTACAAATTTCGGCCAAAAGAATTCATTTGGCATTAAAGAACAATCATGCAGCTGCTGGGATGTTGATCTTTAAAGAGAGAGTTCCTTTGCGCTTGCTTTTAAAAAGGAGTAAGTAGGTATGTTTTACTTTATGCGCTTCTAAATAGGATATTAATTTGACTTTCGTTTACCTTGTTGTCGATTCCAAACAAAAATATTTTTTGTTTGTTTTTGTATCTGCGCTTACACTGTTGTTGACTCATTAAAAAATTGAGGATCTAAGAAAATTCTTTGATGCACGACGATATAAACATATTTTAAAATTTATCTGTTTTTATCTTTGAAAGTTTAAACTTATTAATAATGACTTGCAACACGCGATCTATATCAGGCATGTGTAGAATATGGCTTTGCATCGTCGTTTTTACATCAAAATGAGTTCTCCAAAGTGTAATTCGTAGCTTTGATATAAAAAATATCGATTTAATGCTTTTATAGAGTCGACTGCAACTGCTGCATGTGTGAATTCAATAATCGAAAAACAACATTCGACGTCCAGTGCTTGGGGATTCAAATTATTTGTATTGTTTTGATGATTTGAAGGTTTAGCTATATAGCGAAGTATTAACTCTCATGCACTGAAGGCCTGGTTCACACGAGCTCCTAAGAATCAGGGATCCATTGCATTACTTTTCGATAGACAAAGCATTTTGACTTTTGTGCACCAGCGACTTCAGACAAAGGGAATCCCAGACTCCTAGGACAGGTGTGAGCAATGCCTGAACTGTGAAAGTCTATAAACTGCATGCAACATAGCTATAACGCAGCAGGATTTCAGGACTGTGTTGTTTCCGAAAAATTTGAAACATCAGCTATATCGGCCTATATATTTAAGTAATTTCATGCTATAAGCTTAGAGAGTTAGGTTTGGTTAACTCAGGAAATAGTTTGCTTCGATTGAAATGGAGAGGGGGTGCTGCATGCATGTATTCTGGTATAGAAGAAATAAATTGTGACAAAGATACAATTCTTTTAAGAATTTTAACCATGGAATTCTTCTTACGTAAACAATGTGTATGTTACACCAACTGTTATACTGTCGGAGACTGTCTACACATATATATACTCAATACTAGTGATTCATTAACGCGATTAATTATTGCTTCAATTTTGGGCGCTGATTCGCATGATTGACACATTTAGATTATTATCAATAGGATTATAGGAGTTAAAAGACAAGGGAGGGACTGAGTGCGAGAGAGAGAATTGAGACCGCTGTTGTGAGAGGGAGTGTTTTTTGTATTATCGAGAATATATCTTTTAAAACCCGAATCCGCTTCGTCTACTCTAGTTGCTTATACCTTTTAGTAAGGGTCAATTTATTAAACCTGGCACCTCCGACGGGATTGTGAAATGAGTGAAACGAACGCCAGCACCGCGCTGGAAACAAAATTAGTTCAATTGCAACTGACGACGAAGCGAACGGATGGAATCCTAGCAAAATCCGAAGAGGAACCTATCACGCGACACCAAGGAACACTAAGAACTGTTGTCCGTGAAATAGAGACACTAAGGCTCAAGGTTGAAGCCGAGAAATTGAGCAGAAAAGAGGATACTACCGAGTGGAGCGAGGAAATTGATGCCAAAATCAGCGAGGCAGATGGTCATGTAAGACTGACGAAAGACTGGTTGGCGGAAAACAAGAGGAAGCTAGAAGAAATCGAGAAAGAAGAAAGAATAAAGTTCGAGGTAAGGCTGCATGAGACTAAAGTAAAGTTACAAGAGGAACATATTGTTAAAAACACCTCGCAGACGAGTAAAACTATGATTGGAATGCAAGCAAAATTGCCAAAATTGGTCATCTCAAAATTTAGTGGTTCTCCTATGGATTGGCCACGCTTTTGGGGACAATTCTCAGAGAACATTGATCAATCCAATATTGCCCCAGTGACCAAGTTCTCTTACCTTCGCGAGTTGTTAGAGCCTAAGGTTCGGCAGACAATCGAAGCTTTGCCCTTTCACAGCGAGGGGTACAATCGAGCGATAAGCATTCTGAAAGATAAGTTTGGGAAAGAATCTGAAATTGTGAAAAGCTACTCGCGCGAAATACTCGGGTTGCCCACAATACAAAGTACTGATCACAAAAAGATTCACGAGTTTAGCGAAAAACTGTCGTATTGCGTTCAAGCTTTGCAAACGTTGAACAAGCTTGAGGGGGTAAATGGCGCCGTGCCAATGACACTCGATAAGCTGCCTTGCATTCGAGGAGATTTAGTGCGAACGGATTCAGAATGGGAGGATTGGAACTTCGCTAAACTAGTTGAAGCACTTAACCAGTGGTGTCGAAGAAACCCAATCGAGAAAGCGCCCGAGCGAAACGACGACTTGTTACGTGGCAAGAGGAGAGAGAAGCTGTTCCACGTCTCTCGTCAAAGATTAAATCCACGTAATTGCGTCTATTGCGACAGCGGCGAACACAAAACGAACGATTGCACAAAAGTACTTCTGACGTCAGCCCGTAAACAGATACTTGCCAAAAAACGATTATGTTTTAATTGCGCCGCGGGCAATCACAAAGCCTCTGAGTGCCCGAGTAAAGCCACTTGTAGAAAGTGTGAAGAGAGACATCACACGTCCATCTGTGATTCTCACGACAACAACAACGACGACCAGGCCTCTCGCAAAAATTCAAACGTCGCCATGACTACGCGCCAAAAAAGCAAAGCGGTGTTCCCTGTGGTAGTCGTGCAAGTCAATGGAATTCGATGCAGAGCTCTGATAGACTCGGGAGCCGGGAGTTCCTATGTGTCTGCAAAACTAATAAACTTGCTCAAATTACAACCATCAAAATCCCTGATCAAGAACATTGACATGTTGATGGCCTCTAAGTCCACCAAACTCGAGATATATGATTTGAAATTTGACTCGCTAGACGGTTCGTTCAGTCTTCCCGTGAAGGCTACGAAGGTAAACAAAAGTGAACTTTTGCTGATCGATAACCCCAATTACTCGAGATTGATAAATAAGCACCCTCATTTAGCGGGTGTCACCATAAACGATGACGACGTCAAGGAGACTCTGCCCGTCCATGTCATTCTGGGGAGCGGGGAGTACTCAAAGATCAAAACGCAAACCAGACCGAGAATCGGAGACGAGAATGATCCCATTGCCGAGTTGACCAAGTTCGGTTGGTTTCTGATGGGTCCTGGGTATGAGTTTGAAAGCAACGTGATGTTAATGACTCAGACCTCCCACGCCGAGTATGAGGAACTGTGTCGATTAGACATTCTTGGACTCGAGGATACCTCCCAACACGACCAGTCGGTGGTATTTGCTGAAAAAGAGCACTAACTCGATCTCCTGAGGGATGGTACGAAACGGCGTTACCATGGAAACCAAACCATCCCGCTCTTCCTAGTAACGAACGCGGTAGCCTGAAGCGACTGGGAAGCTTGACTAGAAAACTTCGACGTGAGAACCTGATGGAGAAATACGATGGCATCATACAAGAACAACTCGCTGAGGGAGTCATCGAAAGAGTCCCACCTCCTGTGGTGACCGGAAGTGACCCTGCTCCACCTCCTGTGGTGACCGGAAGTGACCCTGCTCCACCTCCTGTGGTGACCGGAAGTGACCCTGCTCCACCTCCTGTGGTGACCGGAAGTGACCCTGCTCCACCTCCTGTGGTGACCGGAAGTGACCCCGTTCCACCTGCTGTGGTGACCGGAAGTGACCCCATTCCACCTGCTGTGGTGACCGGAAGTGACCCTGTTCCACCTCCTGTGATGACCGGAAGTGACCCTGTTCCACCTTCCGCTGCGAGCGGAAGTGACACAAAGATATTCTACATTCCACACAGATATGTGGTGCGCGAGTCAGCCCAGACAACCAAGATGAGGATCGTATACGACGCCTCGGCCCGTGAAACATCCGACTCCCCGTCCCTGAACGATTGTCTTTATGCAGGGCCAGCTTTGCAGAACAAGTTATGGGACGTTCTGGTACAACAGAGAGCATTTCCAGTGGTGATTTCGGGTGACATCAAAAAAGCCTTCCTACAGGTTCGAGTTCGAGAATGTGAACGAGACGCTCTCCGCTTCCACTGGAGATCAAATGTCGACGAGGAGATACAAACGTACCGCTTTGCACGAGTGTTATTCGGCCTTGCGCCTTCGCCATTTCTACTTGGGGGAGTCCTGGAGTGCCACCTCGACTCGTGGTTCCGAAGATATCCGGAAGAAGTGGAGCGGTTGCGTCGCAGTTTATACGTAGACGACATTTTGTCTGGTGGTCAAAACACCACGGAAGCGAAGCAACGTAAAACCACTGCGATTGAAATTATGGACGATGGAAAATTCACACTACACAAATGGAACTCCAACGTCCCAGAGCTGGAAGACAACCTCAACGAGAGCCGCGACGAACAGTCGTTTGCTAAACAGCAATTGCAAGTGAAGCCAGGCGAGTCGAAGTTGTTAGGTCTAAAATGGGACAAGACCACAGACACTATGTCGGTAGAATTTCCTGCCAGTGCACCGGCGACCACCAAGCGTGAACTCCTTGCAAGTTTAGCAAAGATCTACGACCCGTTGGGACTCGCATCACCGATTAAGTTGCAAGGCAAACTAGTGTTTCGTGACGTGTGCGACTCCAAAATCGGATGGGATTCCAATCTCCCCGATAATCTTCAAAAGCGTTGGCTAAAGTTCGAGAAATCCCTTCCCAAACGAATAAGTATTCCACGACCTCTCGCCCCATTCCATGAGCCTGTCGTTTCGGCCGAATTACACGTATTTGGCGACGCATCAACTGAGGGAGTGGGCACTGTCGTCTACTCTGTGATCCGTCAAGCTGGAGGAGTTACAACGTCCCTAGTCGCGGCGAAGTCTCGATTAGCCAAGAAGAACCTGACGGTACCGAGATTAGAGTTGGTCAGTGCTCATATGTCAGCAAATCTCGTGACAAACGCTAAAAATGCCCTGATAGAGCTTCCTACACCAGCGACGTTCGGTTGGTTAGATAGCACCGTAGCACTTCATTGGCTTCTCGGAAACGGTTCATACAAACAGTTCGTCGCGAATCGCGTACGGAAGATAAGAGAGCACACTGAGATCCAGTGGAGGTACGTGCCTTCAGAAAAGAATCCTGCAGACATCGCCAGTCGAGGTGGAACTATCGCTGACAACTCGTGGTTGTGTGGCCCAGATTGGCTTGCCGATCCTCGCCGCTGGCCAGAAAACCGAGTAGCAAAGAAATCGCCTGCATCTGAGGTCGAAGCCCAAGTCATGAAGGAAGTGCTTAGCGTCGCACATGAAAGAGACAACGATCTGAAGAACGACCCCTTCGAGAACCTTCTCCGACGTCACGACCTGCTGCGAGCACTCCGAATAACTGCCTGGGTACGCCGCTTTACGACGAAGCGTCATCGTAAGGGCCCTTTGTCGGTTGATGACATAAGAGAAGTTCGAAACTGGTGGATCAAACGGGAACAAGCGAGAGACTCCCTAAGTCCCCACTTCGAACATACAAAGCAGACCCTCAACCTAGTCGAGAATCAACACGGGATTCTAGAGTGCCGCGGAAGAATCAAAGGACATTACCCCATATACCTTCCAACCAACTCCGAGTTCACCAAGAGACTGGTGCAGAGATACCACGTAGAAACCCTTCATGGCGGCGTGGGGTTAACGATGGCAGCAGTGCGCGAGAATTATTGGGTTCCAACTCTAAGACGCTTAGTGAAGGTCGTTCGGTCAAAGTGCTATGGCTGTAAGCGATTTACAACAACGGCGATCGTGAAACCAATGCCAGGAGATCTACCCAAAGACCGAACCACCGGCGGAACGGCGTTCGAAGTGATCGGCACGGACTTCGCGGGTCCTATTCGGTATAAACGTTCCAATAAACGCGAAAGCAAGAGCTACCTAGTCATCTTCTCATGTAGTTTGTCGAGGGCGGTCCATCTCGAGCTGATGAGAAACCTCGAAACGACATCTTTCATTCCTTGCTTTAAACGACTCGTCGCACGACGCGGGCGCCCGAGAACCATCTACTCTGACAATGGAACTACGTTCGTCAAGGCCTCGAAGTGGTTGAAGCAAATAAGGAACGACGAACGTGTGCAAGGTCTTTTGCAACAGTACGACGTGTCGTGGAAATTTAACCTGAGCAGAGCCCCGTGGTGGGGTGGTCAGTTCGAGCGATTGATCGGTGTTGTAAGGAACGCTATGTATAAGGTGATTGGCGGAGCGACGCTGACGTGGTCGGAATTGATCGACGTTCTGCTGGATGTAGAAATCCAAATAAACCGACGACCGCTTAGCTACATGGAAGACGACGTGGAACTACCAGCCCTAACCCCTTGCACATTCTTATTCCAACGAACCAGTGAGCTACCTGAAAGTGAACCATGGCGGATCGACGATGAAGACCTAAGAAAGCGAGCGAAATATTTAACGACGTGCAAGAATAGCTTGTGGAGGAGATGGCAACGCGAATACCTGACGGCGCTCCGAGAACGTCACAGCCTGGTCCACAAAACGCAGAAATACGAGGTTTCTGAAGGGGACGCGGTAATCGTAAAGACAGACGACAAGAATCGAGGAAAATGGCCACTGGCGATAGTGGTAAAATTATTTCCAGGATCAGATGGTCGGACGAGAGCCGTTCAGCTCAAAACGAAGAATGGAGTGATAGAAAGACCCGTCCAACATCTTTATCCTCTGGAACTCCAGTGTGATACAAAAGGGAACGCAAAGAAAGCTCAAGACAAATTGAACCCGGACGCCCGAGCGTTCACACCTAAAACAGCGGCTGCCGCAGATGCCCAAGCGAAAATAACCGCCATAGCTGAATGCGAAGAAGACATTTGAAATTTTGAACTAGTCATATTTACTATAAGTACTAGATACATTGTTATTAATGTTTTGTTTGTCACGAACACGTTGCTTGAAAAAACAGCCTCCTGAGGAAGCATGCAATTTAGTTCCTAACTTGCATGGGGGAGTGTGTCGGAGACTGTCTACACATATATATACTCAATACTAGTGATTCATTAACGCGATTAATTATTGCTTCAATTTTGGGCGCTGATTCGCATGATTGACACATTTAGATTATTATCAATAGGATTATAGGAGTTAAAAGACAAGGGAGGGACTGAGTGCGAGAGAGAGAATTGAGACCGCTGTTGTGAGAGGGAGTGTTTTTTGTATTATCGAGAATATATCTTTTAAAACCCGAATCCGCTTCGTCTACTCTAGTTGCTTATACCTTTTAGTAAGGGTCAATTTACTAAAATACTTTTTGTTGCTCACTTGTCGCCCTTGACCTTGCTGCTGTCGTTATGTGCCGCCAAGGTTGACGTGGGCGCGTTTTTAAATGCTCGTACTAGGTACTATAGCTCTGGTAGCAGGCATGCTGAAAGACAAAACTGATGAACGAGGGCATTGGTTGTGCAGCACTAGATCGAGCTATTCGTTAAACACTGCATTGATGTTGAAGATATCGTGCATGCATGCCGTTGAAAATATGATGAGCCTAAAAATAGATATTCAACAAGATATAACTCTAGTAGCAGAATTATCTTGACGTAAAGCCGCGAAGGTTTGTTCTTCAAAGCATCTTTAATCTTTGAAACCTTTTTATAACAAACGCAAAGACAATTATTAACGCATTTATTTTTTTAATTCAATTGTTGTTAACCTATACACATATAATCATAACCATAATTCTAAATTGTCTAAAATCAAAGAGAGTAATAAGATTTATACAATCAAAAAGGTTGACATTCGGACAACGACGTGTTTAGATACATACGACAGATGTGGATTTACAAGTAATATGAAAAAGTTAAAAGTTAAAAAAACATTAATTACCAAAATATTAGTCATTATTAAGTATTTGATATTTTTGCTGGTTGAAGCCCTTCTACTAATAAGGAAAGATAATTAAATGGAAATAACTCTGGCAAACATTATAACTTTTCAATTGTTTTTTCTTTTATATACCCTCTAAAGCTTCCTCAAGGTCTGTTCTCATGCACGATCCAATTTTGTCCGATTCATTTTTGATGGATATTTTATAGTCTGTTAACTTGCAACGTATGTGGACAACAAATGAACTAAAGACAATGCACTACTGCTTTATCAATAACCAACTACATTCCATACATCAGAAGTGAATTGGATCCGACATCGTGTAAATGGGCCTTAAGACAGTTATCTCTGACAGTATCTGGGGAAGCTTGGTTCAACCAAATTATATTCGACCATCCTCGTTTCGAAGGTTTTTGTATTTGTCCGTTCACTTTTTATTTTTGCTTTGTTCTTAACTGATTGAATAAATATAGGAATACACGAAAGTTTCTGCAGTTTATCTAATCGCCTTCAAACTTATCTTTAACTTCATTTTTTAAATCTGAAGACAAGCATAAAAATGTTCGAAAAGTAGCCAATAAAGATTTTTATTCTTAAGAATTTAATGAACGCAAAAAAAACATACAGGGTTTTGGAAGAATAATTTTCAATCAAACACAATTATTAAAATGAGTATACCGAAAGTGGTATAAATTGGCCACAATATGATCTGGGATTAAATATGATCTGGCCTCAAGATCTCCAGGATAAAATCATAACTGCACAAACTTACAGTACTGTCCAGAAATAACCTAACATAACCTAACACTGCGGTTGCAGATAGGTTAGGTTACGGTTCGGTTGCGGTCGACCGATAGAAACCGCAGACGACCGCAAGGGGAAAAAATACCTTCGCAGTGGCCGTTCGCTTCCGAACGAAATGTTATGAACAATGAGAACGACAACACAATAACCAAACCTAGGAAATGCCTGTCATACCGAGAAAAACCGAGGTTTAACCTCCGTCTCACAACGTTTCGACCTCGATCAGACCTCGGTTTGACCTGGGTTAGCCGCGGTTTTTGGTAGGTTTTAAGCATGTAGGACGGCAACACTACGACGACGTGGTTGGAATACTCCTTTAAAAAATGTTATGACAAGGCGTTCTTCTATATTATCAACTGTACCAATTTAATGAGATATAAGACGTTGAAAACATTGTGTTTACGTTTAGGGACAATTCTATAGAGCCTAATTCGAGGTAACGCTCACTGGGTCCAGAAATGCAGACGTTCTACATAGGACGTAATAAACGACGTTCTGCCGTTGTAAACAGAACGTAGATCACGTCTAAAACTCTCATAGTTATTTAATAATTCATTTCTTTTCAATGAAGCATTGTATTAATAGCTGCCGTCGTCGTGTTTCCGTCCTACATGCTTAAGGTCCCTTATTTCTGGACAGTACTGTAGGTCCACATTTGTTTTCGTTCAATTAGCATGTAATCAGTTACGCTGACTTTCAAATGTAGCTTAATATTTGCTAATTGGCTAAAACCACGTATAAACTTCGTTTTAATCAAATTTCCAATTATCTTGGAATAATCTTAGATAAACAAGTAACAGTAATTTTATCTGTGACTAAGGCCCACATTACACGACACAGGATTAGCTGGTCAGGACACTTTCGTTTGCCGTTAACAAGAAATGGTTGGTAGTAAAAGCTCATTGGTTTGATAGATTTGGTAGATTTTTTTGGACCAGACATAAATATTCACAGCCTTTTAACAGCTAAAAAATTTGACTGTATTCAATAGCAACCGCGTATAGTGTAATAATTGGGCCTTACGCGTGAAATTAACTATAGTAACGACATCAGATAACCTAAAATTTAGGTTTTTTATTTATGAATATATTGCCTTTAATTATCCAATGCTAAGAAAAGTATTTGCTCAGGTAACGATCATTTTAATTTTTACGACATTGCTCAGAGTAAACCAAGTAATATATGCAAGAGATCGCGGTAAACAGCCAACTCAAGAAGAAAAAGAAGTGCAAAGCAAGTTAAAACCTTAAACATCAGAATACTTCGTTATAGGTATGCAAAGATTCATGGTCCAGGTATGTTGTGCATACGCAGACTTATTTAGAAAGAAATTGTTTTGGTTAATTTGCGTTTTGACTTTTATATGACTAGTGACGTACCAGCATTATTAAGGAGCACATTTATATATCCATGTTGTTCACTGACAGATAGACCAATCGATTTGTGTTAGGACTATATGTAGAACACAAATACACGAGTATCACCCATTCGAACTAACGAGCTGGCGACGTCACATGTATGTGTATGGAAACCGTTTCTTGAATTAGCTGTATATTCGCACGCTTACCATAAGTACCTTCGTAGCAATTATTTAAATTAATCGACTCTTATGCTATAAAGACGATACAAGATTTAGTCAAAAACGGATATTTTTAATTCTTTTAACAAAATCGGCACAGTTCAAACATTTGACACATCTTATGGTTTGTCCCTAACATTACGACGTTTATTCAAATTAAGTTGTGGGATATTATCCGTAAGTTTAATTGGCAATATTTATCTACCTGAACATTTTCCATCGATAAATCTTTTTTTTAATATTAATTAATGATTCGTGATATATCTAAGACAGAAAGTCGGATTTTCCAGGATCATTACGCTAAGGAAGCGATAAATACTTTTCAATATTATGAATTTTAAAATGTTTGTTACAATTTCTACCGACTGATAGAAAACAACAAGTCGATCGCAGGAAAAAATGAAAATATTCATTGGGAGAACCAAAAGGTAGAAATACAGAGGATATGATTCTGGCATCGGACACATCAACAAAATGCATCAGACCACTACTGAAAAAACCTACAATTTCGGAATCCATGTAAAAAGCCTTCCGGAAAGATCTAATAGGATGATTATGCACAGTTTTTATACCATCTCTTCGAAACGTAATAGAAAATAAAACATATATACCCTGGTTACTATAAAAATTGTCGGATGAGACTAATACTGAACTACGGCTCATATTAGTACCAGTCAAACAGAACCAATCAATTGATTTTACAAACTCTCCCGTTGAACGTACAAACCATCTGTTACCACATTCTATTTCCCACAATTCATAATTTTTTCTGGAACGGCAATGTAACATAACAGCACACCCATCACAACTTATTGCGACAGAAGTGAGCTCTTTACCAGGGGCTTCTTCAAGAACCCAAGAAGGTATTTCTTGATGACAAAGATTTTCTCCACAAATTTTGTAAATAGAAATTCTCCCATTAGTGCTAATTACAAGAACATCTTTTGCAAACTTAACAACACGACTAAAATTTAAAATAGATTCTTCAGTTTGATTTTCTAAGATATTTGAATGAAAAGGTTCATAAGGATATTTAACAACCACGCCTTCACAGACCAACCAAAGATACGACTCAGACCACCAACACGCCACTGCTCGTTGTTTCAGTGCAACAGTTTGCAATGTTTCCCCACTGTCGATACTTCTTATTGAAAGAATGCAATTTTCAAAACAGCACGCTACATACGAGGTGTCTGGAGATAATGCACAGCAATCTATAGGAGCGTTGTCGAGAAAAGAAGCATCAGGAGATTCCAGAGATATAATAAATGTTAGGCTTGGCTTTGAATTATGTAAAAGGAATTTCATCCTGTCTAATTTTGAAAGGTGATCGAATTTATACATAGCAGACAAACATTCAATCTGAAAGACGTCAACGACCTTTTGGTTTACAAAATCGTATATTATCAGAGCTACAGCACTTGCGAAAGAGCAATCGCAAAATGCTACACACTTTTTTCCCTTCCATAAAAAGGTTTTTGAACATTTTTTATTAGAAAGCAGGACTATCTCACCAGATGGCAAGCAAACATGACGAAAGCTACTTCTACGGGATTGTTTGCCAAGACCCAATATATGCGGTGAATACATCTGAATGGAATCTTTACTTGAGAAACACGGCGCAACAGAATCCTTTTGAATATACACTTTTTCCAAATTGTCAGAGCGCAAGACATTCGTAGATATTGATGAGTCCGAGTCGAGCAACAAACCCAAAAGGAGAATGTAGGAGCCACACAAACTAAACAAACAACGAGACCTAGGTTTACAATACACATTGTCAACTTCTGCTAATAGGGTTTTCCTTATTACATCCCACACTTGGATGAATGCCCGTCCTAATGTAGCAAGTTTCGTTCCACACGAAGAAAAAGAACAACTCCAAATGTCGTCGCGGCCGTGTGCAATGAAGGGTACTTCCTTTTGTTCTTTAACAAGGACGCATGACCGAATGGAATTGCATAAAAAATAGGAGGAATCAGGAGAAAAGGCAATGAAGTAGTAACTACAACCGTGTATCTCATCTACTTGTATTTTGAAAAGAGTCGTAAGGCTTGGTATTTTAAGCACTTGCACTGTCCATGTTTCAATATTAAAAAGGGCAAACATCGTATTGTCCGGTGAAAGAGAATTGGTAATTGAATCAACTGACAAGGCACAGGAGACATGATTTAAATCATGATTCTCTTCGTTTGTCACAGGTTCTATCCAAATCTCATTTATTGTATCCAAGACATTTCTGGCAACGTTCTTAGGACAGACATTATTTTGTGAAAAATCAAAGTATCCGTTTGCAAGAGCTTTCAAATAATCGTCACAATATGCTGGAGGGCCTTCTTTCAATGAATAAACCTCTCCCATCTGCACTAAGAAAGAATGCAGTTGAATGATGCCGTAATAAATATCTTTGGAAAGAACACTACCATACGTGTCAAGGATTTGTTTCAAATCAATATCGGTGGCGAGATCACAAAATTTTAGTGTTAAATAGTTTACGCCAACATGCACCAGCCAGTGAAATTCCTCCACCTTACCTGTTTTTATCAAATATCTTCCACCATTTGTTAAAGCGTACTTATTCTCGGGTGAAATTTGAAATTCTAAAACGGACTTTAAAGATTTTATCTCACAGAATTCCTTCTCACAAGCACGCCAAAGACGTCTATTTCCGTCTTTAACATCTGCAACAAACGCATGTTCCTCATACCCATTCAACGTCATCCAATCCCATAATGACTTATGATAAAGAGTCAGGCAACCATCATAAACTGGAAGAATTTCTGACATAATGTCAATAATCGCCGTGCGTATTTCAAATTCTTTCCAGGGCAGATCCATGCATGTAAAAAGAATTTTCAGTGGGAGAGGCAAGAATGCGGCGGCAATAACATTGATAAAACTTTTTAAGATAGATGAAAAGGTATCTTGCTTTAAACGTTGGAGGCCTATTTTCAAACGTTTGAACTGTTTTTCGTAATATCCGGCAATACCATTGGGGATGAAATCACTCAAGTCGGGTTCAATTCCCAAGCCCTTTTCTCTTAATTCATGAACTAAGTGATAAGCGTACAAAAACGATCCCTCACACTTCGAAATAACTGACCTTATGCCATCATCATCAAGTTTAGGTAAATCACGACGAATAAAAAGCTCAATATCTTGATTGTGATCTTCATCATCAGGACGGATTTCTAACGGCTGTAAATGTTGAAGAACCTTCCGTACTTGTAGCTCCGGTCTGCTCGAAATGAAGATCTTAATCCACTTAGGCAGTTCAGAAAAATTCTCGGATATCAACTCCAAGAATTCGCTCTTCATTTCAGTTCTGCTCTCGTCCAAGGCATCAACAATGATCAACATTGGATCGTGTCTGTGAAGACCATGTAGTGGATCGTTTAAAAGAACACGAAATGCGTCTGGCAACGAGTCCCGAGAATTTTCACGACGAAGGATTTCGGTTAGTTTATCACGGAATCCATCAACATTATCACACATTTGGCTGGCAAGGGACTGAAGGATTCTGTGAGGATTGCTGTAATCAGAATTTCGAAAGTCGCAGAAATGGTGAGCTGCGAGTTGGCCACGTTCTCTATACAGCTCAGAGATCTTTCCAGACAAAACACTTTTTCCAGCGCCTGGACCTGCAGTTAGGATCATAACCCTGGTTTCTTTACTCACAAACCAACTTGAGAGTTTATCAAACAACCATTTTCTAGTTTTTTCATGGAATTTTTTACAAAGGCCGTCAATCTTTCCAGTAAAGTCGAATTTAGCGAGTTTCTCGACAGTTGAGTGATGAACATTCTCATCTGCGGTTTTTCTTAGCTTGACTACCTCACTTCTAACATCAGTTAATTCTGATTTCAAATAATCGTTTTGTAGTTTCCATTCAACAGTTGAGTGATGAACTTTCTCATCTACAGTTTTTCTTAGCTTGACTACTTCACTTTTAACATCACTTAATTCTGATTTCCAGTCATCCTCTTGTTGTTTCCATTCTTTTAATCTTTCGGTATAACTTTCTTCTCCAGGGCTGAGAGGAGCTACTTTCAAATCATCAATATCCTCTTGAGGAATTCCCAAGTTGACCAACAGTACCGAAATGTCTCCCCACAATTTTTCAAAAGTTGTGTCGTCCAAACTTGCAGTTGGAATATGAGCATACACTTCATTCCTGAACATTTTGACTCTCAAAATGTTTGCTGATATAGATGTATCACTAACTGGAGGCATAACATTCCACCCAGTGGCTGGTGGAGACAATCCACAAATATTTCGAAGTAGGACAGTTAGTAAGGTGATATCGAAGTTGTTTGAATCTGGTGCACCAGATATTGGGAAGAGTAGATCCCATTGCGGGGCTTTAATTATATTGTATCGTATTCCTTGTAGTGTGGCTCTGTTAGCATTCAAAGCGGAGGCCAAGGAGGAAGGTGGACGCATCGATTGTAGAGAATTTTTCAAAGCAGCTCTCAAAGCATCTCCTCCTTTATCTAACAACAGTTGACAAACCCGGAAATAATTAGCTTTGCTTTTTATCGGATCCATAATTGATCTTTAATTTGAAAATCCCTGAAATCAGAGAAGGAAATGATTGGGAGATTGTTTTGATAAAAACAAGACACAATATTCAGACAATATTCTTTGGGTCTACTTTAAAGTCATTGTCAAACGTATTGACAAAATTTACAAGCATGCTACGTTCCTTATATACAGCTACTCAGGGAAAAGGATGACACAATTCAATGAGTTAAAATGGAACACCCCATTCGAAGGAAAAACCATAGTACGTTTAAGGTGGCTCCCAATAGGTGTAATTAGTATAGTTTGTGACGCGATCTATAAAGATCAGACACGCATGGAGTAGTCGTGATTTGTCAAAAATGGCTCGCTCTGTTTAGACTTTAGAGACGTTGGTAGAAGTTTTTCATTCGAAGTGTATATTCTTATATATGATCGTCTTATGCCGCACTGATTCCATTTCAAGGCTCTTGTTTTTAGGGTAAGTGGATATAAACATATATGAAATTCTCCCCCAATTTCAGTGGCGGATCTACTTCCAAGTCATGTCGACAGTCATTTAATAAAAATGTTCGCCTATACTCGTGGTTCAGTTATACATAACCTTTGGGCGATGGAACGTGTGTAGACTCTTAAAGACCCTGCCATTAAAACTGTACTCTTAACGTTATCGGAGACTCGGAATGAAAAGCTAATGTGGGTGACTGAGTTTCTGATAGAGCATGAAATATAAAATCTCAAGACACGGTTAACAAAATGTTTCTAATCCTCAAGATTCAAAGTTGGATTCTGCACAAAATGCAGTCATAACTTCGAAGGGAAAGGTAAAGTGTTGCGTGTTTACTCAAACAAACCGTCAATACGACACAAGAAATACGGTTACCATATGAACGTCAAAGAACCAATCGAGTATATATACACTTCCGACACGTGGTGTACGAACTATGGTAATGACGGGTGGAGAAACCGACTGTATGCTGAGATGTGATCAGATGTTTCTACTGTAATGTTTATAAATTGGTATTCAATGCTTCTGAACTTCTTATACTATAAAAGTATTGTTAGATAAATCGCTACTACAAGTTCGATGTTTTTCTACCTCGTGTTCGTAACTAAGTAACTAACATTGTTCTTGACCCCCCGTGACAACTAGTCACATGAGCATAACTATAAATAATGTCAACATTGCATCCCTCCTATGTTTTACATATGAACTCTTCTAACTATAACAAAATCTTAACATAATGTTTAAACTGTATCTTATCTATCTTAGTCCAGGTCAAACAGTCAATCATAAATGTTATTTCCATATCTGTTGATTCGCCGTCTTTCTCTTGCTGGATATCTTGGACCATCATCTTGTCTGGGACCAATGTCTTGTCTTGGACGATCATTCTATCGCAGTTCATTCTCTACGCGAACATCTTCGTCTGAGAAATAATTTTCTTCATCTGGGTTATCTGTTGAATTCAGTGGTCTTCCATGTTTTGGGTGAAACATTTTAAAGAAGGAAATGTTCCGTGTTATATATTTCCCATTCCTCACTGCGGTGATCCAGTTGCCACGGCGACTTGTAACTTCGTATGGTGTTGGGTCGTATTTTGTGGACATTTTGTTTGACATAGATTGTCGCACGAAAACTAAATCTCTTTTTTTGATGTCAGCACGTTTCACTGAATCAGCATAGTCCTTTTGTTTATTTTTCAACCTTTCATCTCTCTCTTTCAGCTCTTGATGAATTGGGGACTGGTTATCAAACAACACATGGGGTAATTTTGTTTGAAGCTGACGGTTGTATAGCAACTCTGCCGGTGACTTGCCAGTCGTGGCATGTAGGGTAGCTCTGAAGTTAAGCAAGAATTTAACATTTCACGCTTCCAATCTTTGTTTTCATGATATGCGGATTTTACAGCCTTCACAAGTGGTTTCATGAAGTTTTCAGCTAGTCCATTTCCTTGGGGCCATAATGGTGAGCTTGGTTTATGGGTAATGCCAAGCTCTTTTAGGTACACACTAAACTCATGGCTCTGAAATGGTGGGCCATTATCACTCTTTAACACCTTTGGGATGCCATGTGTGGCAAGAATTCGTTCAAGTTTCAATACTGTGGACTTTGCAGAGGTCGAGCTTACAATTTCCACCTCCGGGAAACGTGAATATGCATCAATGATTACTAACAGATAGGAGCCACCAGGAAATGGTCCACTAAAGTCAATATTCACTGTGTGCCAGGGTTCGGGTGGTAGAGTTGTCATACGTAATGGTTATTGGTGACGGTTTGGTCCATTTGCTTGACATAATAAACAAGTATCCACTGTATGTTTAGCTAGTTGGTCTATACCAGGATACCAAACCTTTTCTCGCAATAGCTGTTTAGTTTTGACAAGCCCTTGGTGGCCTTCATGAGCAATATGAATAGCCTTTAGTCTAAGGCTTTCGGGAAGGACAATTCGCGAACCTCGTATTTAGTCTAGGACCTGTAAAGGAGTTTGTGTGCATTTCATTTAGGACAGATTATCTCAACTGTTTTAAGGTAATATGACCATGGCGGTCAACATGGCATATGTGCCAAAATGTGAATCCGGGACGAAAGTCCTGAAAATGACCACACCCAGAAACGGCATAGTCGACACAGCTCTAAATCCTGAATTATCCAAGCTACATTCTTTCTGAATTGTTTATGTGGTTCAGAATGGTTGCTTTTAGGGGTGGTCACTGGAGAGTGAAATTAGCCACGACAAATGTTCGTGGGCAACATTGCAGGGGGGGGGGTTATTTTCACAAATACATTTCTGGTTTATTTTTTTAGCTTTGTGAAAGCAAGAAAGTGCAATTTAAACGCGGAGACTTGTTAATTTTGTTATGAGAAATATTAACAGCAAAAACGGACAAATTTTACTCGGGTTGTTGACTGATTGTGGTTTTGAACAAATGTATGCTTGAATTTTTGTCCCCCAGGATTGCTGTTCACGAGGGCTCGTCGCGGAGTTTGCGCGACACTTTCAAATTATTTTGAATCTTTCGCACTTAAATTTCATTCCTGATAAACGAGGGGTGGTTTTTTACTTTCAAGTGGGACAAATGCTTTTAAATTTTGGATAGCTGCTATTGTACTATCAATTATTTATCGATGCTGTACAATACAGCTGGGGATCAAGAACTGGCATTTATCGTGCAGAAAGGCGACGAGACATGGCAATGGTGACATAATTGACGAAATGTCAAGGGACACAAAAATGAAAAAAATATTACATGGCACTACTTCAAAACCCATCGAAAATTGGTTGAATAATTCTTTAGTCCACTAGAATCGTGCTAAAGTACAGTATTTGGATGGTGACGGACGGCGAAAAACGGCGATCAAATTTGCAAAATATGGCTGAAATCGTGTTATGGCGGGGGGTAAGTGAAATGAAATATGTCGTATCGCAACAAAACATTGTTATTTCCTAGGAAATTTATAATAAATATATCAAAATAAGCATGTTTTTTTATCATATGGCAAAAATTTTTAGAAAATAGGGAAAATTAGACTTTGCCAGGTGAATCTGTAATTTTATGCATAATTAGCAGTTGAACTGGAATAGTAAACATTCATTTTCTTGTAAAATATGAAACTTAGGCTAATTTCACTCTCCAGTGACCACCCCTAAAAGACACCATTCTGAACCACATAAACAATTCAGAAAGACTGTAGCTTGGATAATTCAGGATTTAAAGCTATGTCGACTATGCCGTTTCTGGGTGTGGTCATTTTCAGGACTTTCGTGCCGGATTCACATTTTGGCACATATGCCATGTTGACCGCCATGGTCATATTACCCTAGAACAGTTGAGATAATCTGTCCTAAATGAAATGCATACAAACTCCTTTACAGGTCCTAGACTAAATATGACTCCATCCTGTTCATTTAGTGTAAGTTCTGTTTTAATTTTCTGGTACGCTTTCAAATCCGAGACTTTTATGTTGGGATTGGATTGCACATCCAGTAAATAATTGGGATTGGATTGCACATCCAGTAAATGCCACTGACCTGTTGATACGAGGGTACCCAGGAACTGTAATGTTGGATCAGCCAAAGTGGCTTGCTGTATTTCAGGCAGTGTCATTGCTCTTGGAACAACATGTTGGATTAGGAAGCAAACATAGTTGTCTGCCATTGTTTGGAAATGTCTGTCATCAGTGGTGTCATTGACAGCTAAATGTCGTGATAGAAAGTCTGATGGATTGTCAAGCCCCTTGGTGTAACTTACGTTAAAATCATAATCCTGCAATCGTAGATTCCATCTTTCAATTCTAGCCGGGGGTCGTGAATTTGGGTTGTTCAAGATCAACTCGACTGGTTTGCAATCAGTTAGCAGAGTGAAATGTCCTCCATATAAATATGTAAACGTTCAATCGCCCACACAATTGCAAGAGCTTCTCGCTCCGTTTGGCTATATCGTCTTTCGACGTCTGATAAGGACCGACTGATGTATGCGACAACATTTCTTTGTTCTGATCCGGAGGCTTTCCGCATCAGAATCGCTTATTGACCCACAGCTGATGCATCTGTAATGAGTTCTGTGTCTTTAGTTTGATCGAAATATGCCATGACTGTTGCGCTTGTAAGAGCAGCTTTCACTGAGATGAATGCCTGCTCATGTCTTGATGTCCAACTGAAAGGTACATTCTTTCGTATTAGTTCCCGTAAAGGTTTTGTGAGCTCACTGAAATTAGAAATGAATTTGGCACAATATGTTGCCAATTAATACCAAGGAAACTCCGAACAGCTTTGACTGATTTTGGAGGTGGGGAGTCATGAATGGCTGAGACCTTGGCTGGATCTGGTGAAATTCCTTCACCCGAGAAGACAAAACCAAATAATGTGAGCTGTACTTGACTGATCTCGCATTTGTCCTGGTTTAAGGTGAGTCCAATGAGTGAAAACGGCTCAAATATTTCATGAAGGGCTTTGTCATGCTCTGCTTGTGTTGTACCAAAGATGATTATATCATCACTAATGTTAATGGCATTCGGAATGTCCCGGATCTGTTCGTTAATGACGTGTTGAAAAATCTCACTTGCCGAATTGGTACCGAAATTCAACCTCTTATAGCGGTAAAGCCCTTTGTGTGTTGTAAAGGTGGTTATGTGTCGACTTTCCTATGCGAGCGATAACTGATGGTATCCTGAACGAAGATCAAGCTTTGTGAACACAGTGGCACCATTTAGCTTGTGAATTAAATCATCCACAGTTGGAGTTGGATGTGGAAAGGAATACGACGGGGGTTCTGTGCCACTGGAGGAACAGTATCATCAATGCGCAATTTAACTTCAAAATCTTTAAGGGTTCCAATTCCATTGAATATATGGGCATACTCTTTCAACAATTGGTCATGGGTCCAGATTTTACATTGTTGATCTTTAGCATAATTAGACCCAAAGCAGATGCCGTTTGATAGCTGAGCAAACAACCAAAATTTCCTTTGATAACATGAACTTGTGTGGTTTTTGTGCCTATCGCGCATTTCAAGGTGGCATGAAATTGTCCCATAACAGGCAACTGGTGGGTGGCACCGTAGGCAAAAACACGTGTCTTGGAATGTCGTAGGGATAAGGATCTCTGTAATATGTTGAAAGCAAGTTCATCGATGATGTTGATGGAGGCACCAGTGTCGATAACCATGTTAATATAGGTGTGTTCTTGACCAAGATTTGGACCCGAGGTGTTGTTTTGTCTCTACATGATGGTTTTAGCGTGAAAATGAATTCATCCTCGCTGCTGCTTTCATTGCTGGAGGGTTGGCGAGAAATCTTTTGGACTTTTTTTAAGATATTTTTTTAAAGAGTTTTGGTTTTCTCGTTGACTTATTGACTGTACGAGGCTTGCGGGCACTACGGCAGACTTTCGCAAAATGATTGCTTTTCCCACAGTTCAAACAAGATTTTGCTGGACAAATATTGTTGTTATGGGGCCAGAGCCCCCCACAATTTCGACACTGTGATGAAGTGTGAAAATCTTGACGATGAAACGATGTTGGTTGTTGATCATGATTACTTTGGTTGACTGTCCCTTGAGGACGCACGGCTTCAGCTACTTCGTCAGAAATATGTGTTGATTCCAGTGCGTTTTCAATGCCGGCTGCTTGTGATTCACTAAGTTTGAAAGCTTTGCCTTTAGCGAGAATCTAGCGTCGTAAACGTTTCGATGAACAGTTTTGAATTATGGCCGATTTGACTTCTTTATCAATGTTTGCAAAGTCACAGTTTGTTGCCATTTTCCTAAGACGAGTTGAAAATTGATCTATGGTTTCATGGGATTGTTGTTTGGCTTCACGAAACTTAAAGATTTCAAAATCGACGTGTTTTTGAGGTGAAAAATACGTATCAAGGGCAGCGATGGCGGAATCATATAATCGTCATCTTCGCCGATTTCAGCAAGGGTGTCAAAAATATCCTGAGTTTCTTGGCCAGCTTGGTATAGCAAGAGAGCTCGTTTTTGTTTTTTCTCCGTAATATTTAGAGCCACAAGATATGTTTCCAATCGTCGTTTCCACGTTTTCCATCGTTGGCTGAGAGAACTTGGATCTGCCAAGGGATCAAATGGCGCCATTGGGGTTAAATCGATTCGGCCACTTGCCATGACTTTCTGACTTTATTCGTCGATCAGTGGTTTCAAAATCGCTTTTATTTATAAATGATAGCTGCTTTTGTTTACCTCGTCGCCAATGTAATGTTTATAAATTGGTATTTAATGCTTCTGAACTTCTTATACAATAAAAGTATTGTTAGATAAATCGCTACTACAAGTTCGATGTTTTTCTACCTCGTGTTCGTAAGTATAAGTAACTAACGTTGTTCTTGACCCCTCCCCGTGACAACTAGTCACGTGAGCATAACTGTAAATAATGTCAACATTGCATCTATTAGACTCGTTCATATTTCCCTCAAACATTAAATTTTACTGATTGATGATTGCACATTTCATCAAAATACAACGAACCGCAAATTTAAGTGATTATAAAACAATAGTTAATCGTTTCATAAATTACTATCTATTTAATAGTCGTAAAGTACCTATACTATATTAATAAAAATTATTTTATAGACAAATCGTACTGTATCATCATGTCTCAACAAATCGAAATAATAAATGATTCACACTAAAATTTGGTTTTTACTCCTACACAATAACCCGGCTCATAAACACTACATACATCAAAGGCATGATGTACACGTGAAACACCCGTGTACATTTTAGTCTCACATCTTGAACATTAAACGTACGATGTTCACGTGAAACTATCATGTATCCTCACATAATGTTCACGTGGCATTCTCGTTTATACCCATTGTGACGTCATTGGTTGCATCCCTTCCATCCGTATATGGGGGGAGGGGGGTAATCTACTAACTATTCATAATTTTAACACACACATTTGTTTATAGCCTACTATTAAACTGCTCGACTGAAAGTTCTGCTACTTTAACTCGTCAATTTTGTGTGACGGGACGTCAAAATTATTCAGTTAAAACGCTTATTTTCTCTATCGTCCTATCATGTTTTTTTTTAAAAGTTAAAAATAATAAAAATACAAAAATGTTCGGGGCTACGCACATCGCACATAGATCAGGGGGATACAGCCGTTTCCCCGCCCGTGTTTTACAGCGCCCTGGCTCAGATGAAAGGAACGCCCAAAACAGAGTCCGTTAAAGGAGTGTCTTTGAGGCCGGATGTTCCCAAGGGAATCCAGAGGCTTACATACTTAAACAATGTTGCTAAATATAACAAAATATAATTTAATATAATTAATCAACAAAATATAATTTGAACACAAAAGATTTGAAGCATTGCCTAATTTTGCTATATTGTAATGATGTATTCCTTAAAAGATCATCGCAGCAAGTAATTTCAAAAGATAGCTGACATTAATGACTGTCCTATCTGGTCTGAGTATATATACTTAGGTTTTGGAAATATGCCATAAGAACCGACATATTACGAACACTTATGTTGTTGCTACATACATGTACTGTATATAAACCATACATACAGACAGTCAAGGTTGTTGACTTTTTCAAGAGCTGGACTGAAAGCAATACATTTACAGAGAAACAGTGTGTGAATTATGTAATTAGCAAATAGCAAGATATTATCATTTAGTGACGGAACTGGCAAAGCTGTAAGAGCGGTATTGTTCAATTACAAGAAGACCTTCGACCTGATTGATCACAAGATTCTAGCAACGAAATTCATCCGTTTGTCAATGCCAACTTTCATGAAACGCTGGGTTATTGACTTTCTTACTGACAGACAACAACGAGTGAAGTTAGCAAGAGATTGTTTGTCCGAATGGTTACATGTTCCTTCTGGTGTCCCCCAGGGAATGAAATTGGGACCGTGGCTCTTTATTCTAATGATAAATGACCTCCATTCTCCCCATCACGAACGATGGAAATACATTGATGATACCACCATATCCGAAATTATTTACACCTAGTAATATTCAGGATACAGTAAAATATGTTCAAACTTTGACAGAAGATAACAAGATGCAATTAAACGCTTCTAAGTGTAAGGAAATCGTTATTAGCTTTACAAAACCTGAGAAAGTTTTTCCTAATCTTAATGTTAACTCAGATCTTATCGAGACAGTGGACCATGTCAGAATACAAGGATTGACGATATCCAAAGATGATTGTTTTTTAACTTCTCTTTGTAGTTCGATATATATATATATATTAATATATGTCTGTAAAATAGTTTTGTTTTTTTATTCTAATCAACCATTAATAATGTAAATTAGCGTACGCAATTCAGCCTTTTGGCTGCAACCTGCCTTTTTAATTAAAGGATCTATCTATCTAGTTTAACCAGAAACAGTTCTTTCACTCTCAATTAATACTCAGGTATCACTATAGGAAAGATCTCCCCATAATTGTCATGACCATGCGGTGATATCCACATGAAAATAGTTCCTGTCAGTCAACTTTACATGTTACAATACCTTAAAATTTATATTTTGGTGTTCTACCTTTTCTAAAACTTCCTCCAAATCTCAGCACTTCCCCAATACAAATTTTAAGCCCTTAGTGGTTAGTGATCTCCCATATTTGGGATTTTACACCAGTGTTCACTTTTCCACTTCATAAAATGAGCATATATTATATTATAATATAATAAGGATATTTATATATGCGGTCAATGCGGATCTGCTGATATACCTGTAGTCATTAATAAATGAATGAACAGAAACTGGAGATACAAAACGTGTAATAAACCACAATCCCTTACCTTCCCATTCAATAGCAGAGTAAAAACATCATTCAACTTGAAATATAGTTGACACAGTGAAAATTAATCCAGATTCTTAAGGGAAAAGGTAAAAAATCTATCAAGTTTTAATTTAATAGGAATAGTTTAACATTTTTATCGCAACTGTGGTCTAGCCAATATATTCTAAAACTTCTGACTATGATTGCAGTTGTGTAGGCGCCCTAGTTGTTACCATGCAGCACTTTGGTGATCCTACTAGGGATGATGAAAATCCTTAGAAGTTGGCATCCACAACTTCAGGATAAATGTTTTAATTTATCAGAATTATATTTTAGCCTGAGAAATTATTTTATACACCTCATGCAGTATGCATGTGTTGGAATATAATTACTAAGATGTTGGTGTGTAATAAAACAAATCATTCCATTGTCCATGGTTGAAATGGTCACCAAAAATTTAAACAAGCAATCTAGGTGTAACACTCTTATTCATCTTGCTTAATTTCACCAGACCTTATCTATCACTACATAGTAATATTTGATGATTGCCAAAAAATTCAAACATCTTGACATAAAAACATATAATACATTTCTAAACCTAGCTTCAGCATGGCAATTGCATGGATGTACCCTGGACTGGTATAAGCACTATGTTAATACAAATAGGTAAATTTATGCTATGTACAATAGCTTCCACTTATCTAAGCTGGAGAAATAGATTTGTAAACCCTTTTATTCTGAATAAAACCTTCAAATTATTATGCATATTTGGGCTGCCTATGATAAAATCAATATTTTGGAGGAGTACATATATTCATATGACCATGGCAGTTTACGACCCCAATGACAAGGTTGTTAAGATAACATGATCCTTCTAATGAACTCATAATAAATACCTACAGCGCTAAATATCTTGATATACTCAAATATTGTCGTGAAGCAAATTGACAACAGGGGCGTAATTCGGAATGCTGGCTTGCTGGGCACATAAATTCCTCTTGAAACTAAAATAGAAAATAGTGTTAATATTGTGAAAAAAGGCATGTCTTATTCCCAAATGAACATCTAAAGACAGGTGAACACTCAAAGATGAAATATCACAACATTCTGCAATAGTACTACAGTTCTCTACAGTAATTTTGCGTCGTTTGCAATTTCTAATGAACTATAAATGATTAACACAACACATACACTGCTAAATACCTTGATATCTATAAAATACAATTTCAACAGTAATACCTTTGTTTATTCCTGAATGTTATACTTCGGATACGAGAAATATGAAAACAGTTTCAATATTTAAAAAAAAATTGGAAGAAAAACATCTGGTGAAGTGTTGTATACTGTTATATTGCGGTTAAAATATAGGGTACCATAACGCAATACGCAACCATAATATTATGCTTGTTCTCCGGTCGGCACGAAGGGCCGAAAGGCCGGTCAAGGGAAATAAATCCGTAATGGTAAAAAATAGGTACGTTTAGCGTTCATGTTGAGAGCCGCAGCCGCAAGAAGCCTCACGAACGAAAGGTCTGTTTTTAGGCTACTAGAAACCAAGAAGACAGCACCAGACCAACGAAGGTTTATGTTTCAAATAGGCGATAGACTGAGCTATCACCTGAAGGAACTTTTGTTAAAATTCAGAACTAGAATTAAAAACATATTTCTGTAAATATATTTCGAATTTTCCCTTATTTCATATGACATCGGCACTGCAAAACTTTAGATAATTCTATTATTTTTTGTGGGGAAACGCGCTTTTTTTCCAACTGAAAATTTAAATTATTCGCCGTTTATATAAAATATGAATTTCAAACGGAGGAAGACGTTTCATCAATCAAATTAAAGAGAGTTAAAATATTCATGAAGTCTTTGAGTTCAAACAATGTTTGGAAACGATTAAAAAACAATAATTTGATGTGTTTGCCAGTATTTAAAACCGGTGATAAAGAGTTTTGACAGGCATATACTGTAGCAGTTGATCACACACAGTTGACACGGATAAAAACATTTATTTCATATTAGTATCATCGGTATTTAGCTATAAGGTGTTATCAGGACAGGGATGTTGTTCATTGTACTTTGGTTGCCAAGTTTCCCTTTTAGGTCTCTTCCAAATTACGTGTGTTGATTTGTTTATCATGCCCATTTGATTGCAATCGTTTACATCTTACAAATCTCGGCCAAAAGGATTCATTTGGCATTAAAGAACAATCATGCAGCTGCTGGGATGTTGATCTTTGCAGAAAGAGTTCCTTTGCGCTTGCTTTTAAAAAGGAGTAAGTAGGTAGGTCTTACTTTACCCTCTTCCAGATATCATTTGACTTTCGTTTACCTTGTCGTCGATTCCCGACAAAAAGAATTTTTTTTTGTTTTTCTATGCCTTTCTACTCCAACAAATCCATCTGCGCTTACATTTTGGTGGCTCCTTATGAAATTGAGGATCTAAGAAAATTCTTTAATGCGCGCCGAAATAAAAGAATTTAAAAATCTATCTACATTTTTATCTTTTGAAGTTCAAACTTATTAATAATGACTTGCAAGACGCAATCGATATAAGTTATCACGCATGTGTAGAATATTCACCCCTGAGAAACAAATTCCCTGATTTTTTTGAGAAATTTTTTAGATTAATATTTTGTCATTTTAGGCATTATGTATATTCCTGTATCATAAACAAGTCGTGAGGTTTATTTAATTCGCAATATTCCCGAGAATCCCCGAGCCTGTGCCGAGCACCATGTGTGGGTACTAATTCCGCCCGGAGATTAGGAATTACATCCGGAACCGAAGTGCATAGCGGAATCCAAAGTTTTCCAAGGCCACAAAGCCGCAAGAAAAACCCAGGGGCCGGTTGTTCAAAAGCAGGTTAAATTTAACCCTAGGTTAGTGCTAAACCTGGGTTAAAATCCTTAACCCTAGGTTAGCTAAATCTGGGTTAAAACTGTGTTGTTCAAAGCAGGGTTAGCAGTAGGGTTAGTTAACCCAGGGTTAAAATATTTAACCTAAGATTAAATATATTTTAAGGACTAAATTGGATATAAGAACGTTTTCGATTGGTCAATAAACGAGCGTCGAAACTTTACCCGACGAGGATATATTGTCAGTCGAAAGATTATATGCCGTGAGGCAGGGTCGAAGGGACGTTGTTTTGAACAGCAATTTCCGTGCCTGGAATTTTGGAAACATTCGAAATGAAAGGCCATTTTGTATAATAAACAATGTCGACGTGAAATAAAATCGAGCAAATTATAAACAACCTATATTTTAAAATTTCAGGCATTCTTTGATTATTCAAATTCAGGAACAAACGTAGCCTTACCACTTGGTGCCAATCAAAAGAATCGAATTTTGGCATCCGAAACAAATATTTCGATTACGATGTTTCAATTTTTACGGTTGTATTCATTTATCGTGTATTGCATTGAAGCGGAGATAAATAAATCAATACATCAGCTGAAACCGAACGAAGTCAAACTTAAATAATTCTTTGCTGTCGAAATTATTCGTAAAACCTTTCAAAAGTGTTTAATTCATAACGAATTATACGTGTTTACGTGTTTCAGCTCCTTATTCATCCATTTTGAATCGAAGTTAACCCAGGATTAAAAAGTTAACCCACCTAGCTAGCAGGGTTAATTTTTTTATCAATTTTAACCCAGGGTTAAGACTAACCGAGCTTTGTGCAACGCAAATTAACCAAGGTTTAAAATTTAACCCTGGGTTAGGCATTTTTAACCCTGGGTTAGCGTTAACCGGCTTTTGAACAACCGGCCCCAGAAGTGCAGGGTCAGGACAAGCAGCAAAACAGTTAGCAGCAAAACCTGGCGTTTTTCATCGGGTGAAACTGATACAATCTAACGATAAGTCTGCTCTTCAAGATATCTTACAACGGTTTCCACAGAATTTCACTGGCCTGGAAAAGCTGGGAAATAATCAAGTAAAACCGCATGTTGATACGTCAGTTATATAAGCCAGTTGCCAATCCTGCAAGGTCAGCACCTTATAATCTTTTAGGAACGAGTCGCGAAGTTATCGAAGAAATGGTGAGTGAAGACGTAAACGAGGAACATCCACCTATAGAATCAGCACCTTGGGTCTCCAACGCGATAATTGCACCAAACCCAGACGGGGCTATCCGCATGACGCTGAATGCGCGTAATGTTAAAGGCCATGCATCCAGGGAACAAATTTACCCATTCCAAAGCAAGAGGATATTAAAGCAAAGCTCAGCGGGGCAAAAATATTCTCAAAGATGGATTTCAAGTCTGCATTCTAGCAAATCGAGCTTCATCCGGATTTAAGATATCTGGCAGTATTCCACGCTGTAGAGGTACAAGTGTCTTACAATGGGAGCGAAGCCAGCGCGAGACGAGCTTAACGTAGCCCTTCAACCTTTATTTGCCAATATTCCGCAAGCTCGCCTCATACATGAAGACCTAATCGTAGCGACAAAGAATTTAGAACATAATAAAGCAATTAAAGAAGTCATGAAAGCTATGTCCAATGCCGGCATAACTCTCAACCCAAGTAGATGCATTTTTGTATCACAGAAATTGAATTCTGGGGACTGCAAATTAGTTTTATCGGAGTGAGACCGAGTCCTGCTAAAGTGGATGCGCTCAACTATATATCAGCGCCCAGTTCGAAGGAAGACTTATAGTAAGTTTCCTATGTATGATGCAGTCAAATGCAGAGTTCATTCCAAATTTCGCAAACCAAGCAGCGAACACTACAATAATATTTTGATATGGGTTAACAAGCATTTATATTCACTGATGCCCACAAGACAGACCTTGCAGCGATGTTGGCACAAGGGAATAGCGTTGAGAACGCAAGACCAGTGGCAATAGCATCAAGAGCAACGAACGAGTATCCGTATCCTCAGATTGATCTGGAAGCCCTTGGCATCGACTTCGTCTTGAGAAGATTCCGCAACTACGTCGTTGGTGCTCCAACCAAAATACAAGTGATAACAGACCATCCACTTTTATGTTCAATTTTTAACGGTAAACGGCAAGGACCAGGCTCAATTCAAACCGAAAGAGTCAAGCTGAAACATGAAGACATTCGGTTTATCGTTGTTTACCAGCGAGGGAAAATTAGCCAGTCGGATTATTTATCACGACATGCAAAACCGGTACAAAAGCTTCCACAGTCATAGCAAGAGGACGACTTAAATAATCTATTATACATGCTCCACAACACTTCGGTACTCGACTGCATTGGCTATGCAAGAATTGCACAGTGTACGAAGGAAGATCCAACTCTTGTAAAGATCGGAAAGCTCATAAATCAAAGATTCCCAAGTCGGAGGCAAGCGATGTGCAGCGTTTTAAGGAGGTCCTACCACAGCTTACAGTCACCGGAAATGGTATAATATTGAAAGATGAAAGAATCGTTTTACCGGAGAAGCTTCAGAGATGGCAATTAAAATTGCCCACAGAGGATCGCATCCCGGCCAAAGCGAACTAGAAAAAAGGCTTAGACACCACTTCTTTTTCCATGATATGAATAGGAAAGTGAAGGAGTTGGTTGAGTCATGCGACGGCTATGCTATGTTTGTAGATAAGAAGACTAAAGAACCAACCAAGCCACACAAAATCCCACAAAAATGTTAGGACACGGTAGCATACATACATACGCTTTATTTAAACTTGACATTCGACTTGTTTGGACCGATGCCATCGTCAAAGCACGTTGTAGTCGTGCAAGATCTAGCGTCGCGATTTCGCGCAGCCAAACTGGTCACATCAACGAAAGCAGACAGACTCACTCCAGTACTCAGTGAAATTCATGAAGTTAATGGAGGAAATCAAGAGGTGCAGATATCGGATAATGGCCTACCATTTAATAGCGCTCGAATACAGAAGTTTGCAACAAATAGATCAATTGAACTGCGGTACACACCTCCACTACACCCCTCCTCGAACCCTGTATGTTATGCGGCCTTTGGGTGAGGCCATGAAGATTGTGCATCAGAAGGGCGTGGCCGACAACGAAACCTTGAAAAGAGCAATGAACAATTACCGGCAAATACCTGATCCAGCAACGGGTATGCCTCCAGCAGCCATGCTCTTTCAGGATGGGCAACGTTCAGGGTTTCCAAGAAGATATGCAACCGAAGAAGCAAAGGAAACGGAAAAAAATAGAAAA